ACTGGCAGTGTTGTTTTGTATCACTGCATTTTTATTTTAATTTCCCTAATAAAGAACTGTTATTCCTATTCCCATATCTTTGGCTGAAAGCCTCTTAATTTCAAAATTATAATAATACAGGGGAAGGATATTTACATTTTCTATTTCAGGGGAGGCTCCTTCATTCCTTACCAAAAACCTGTCTTTTCAAACCAAGAAATCAGGGAGTTCCCCTGGAGGTTTTGTCAGGAGAATTTTAAATCAGACAGTTCAAATCTACAGTTCAGGGAACAACCTCAATGTAATGTACACAGAACTGACTTTAATGGAAAATTCTTACATCTGCCACATAGATCACCCTCAGACTATTTGGTTATGTTCCTTCTGCATTATATAATATTTTATTTAACAAGTTACTCTCAGTAGACAGTGAATATACTTTCAAATAAAATAATTCTTCCCTTATTCTTCAGTAGAAATGGATATGATCTGGGTAGCAGTAAAACATTACCTCACCTGCCAATTTACAGTCCCCTTCACTTTTGGCTTCTGATCACAGTGTTTGGATGATTTTCAATCTACATTTTTTCTGAGTAGTTAGTCTGCTTTACAATTTTAGAAGGGCTATTATTTTTTTATAGCTTTCCCAAGTAATATCAGACTTTGGTTTAGCTTTGTAATTAACACAAAAGTGTGAAAAACGATGTTCAATGAAGAACTATGATTCCATATATTTAAATCTGTCTATTTAAATATCTTATCCAAGTGGAGGAAAGCATTATAACTTCTAAAGGTTATATTTATTACACTCTTGTCTCTCCTTGGGAAAAGGAATGTCAGAGTAGGAGAAATCAATTAAATACTATTCCTTTACTGATAACAATTAATTCCAAAATGGAGAAATTAAATGAAATTTACCAGTGCTGCGCTGCTCAACACAATCATAAAAACCATAAAATATTCAAACCCGCTGTGGTTCACGATTTTGTAGCAGGTTTTTCTAAAGTTCCACCAAGTTCTGCCTGGAAACTTGGTGGTGTCCACTACACAACATGGGGAACACTCAACACAACCTGAAAAGAGAGAGAAAAGCATATTGGTTCAATGGAAAATGTTGAGATACGGATTTAAAAAGTGTAAAACATCTAAAAAAGGCTTTTTACATATTATAGGAAGAATGTCCTCTTTTATCTATGAGGTGATGCTGTTATTGAAATTATCTGAAGCTAAAGAAAAGGTTTTTATGCCAAAATAATTTCTTTTAATAAAGCAATGCATACATGGAATAACAGACTTTTATTATAACTATAAGATAACTAGAATTTAAAAAATATGGAATAACATCTTTTTGTGTCTTTCTGCAGAAAGGTTTGTGGGCACAAAAGAAGCCTTTACTTTTATCTAAAAATGTGTTTATTTTCTGCATTTTTCCCTTTCTTTTTATTTTGAAAAGAGATATTACCATACTAGCAGATCAGTAAATTATTATTTTTACTAATTATTTCACTTTATTGCACTGCAGAGACATGACATCTGGACTCTGTTCACTGCTCTGTGGCAGAAACACTCTTCATTAATTTGGAAAGGCAGCAGGATTGAACCAACAGAGTCTAAGGAGAATTTCAGGTGATCAAAGGTAGATATCCACCCTGGGATGAGCAGACAAACAGTTCCTGCTATTCTGGACATGTTTTAAATGGATATTTCTGAACACTGGTTCATTTGGCATTAAAGAAAAAGAAAAAAAGGATTCCTACTCTCTACAAAGCAGTCCTTGGGCAGCTGGGAGTCTTTAGTATGGGAAAACATCTCCAGAAGAACAACTGGATCCACAGTGCTGGCTTCAGAAAAGCTGCGAACAGAATGATATTTCTGCAAAGGAGAAGAATTTAAGAATTAAAGAATTTAGGAATTTAAGAAAAGAATTTATTTGCTTTTCATTAATAAGGTTAACAAACCTAAAATAAATTAAAATTATCATCTCCTCTCCCTCCACAAAAGAAATTTGCAGTGTATAAATTATCTTTATGTTGCTGAACTACCAAAATAAATTATAAATAATAGGATAGAAATAGCCAATCCCTACTTTTTGTTTCCATCATTTTATTTTTTCAAGTTTCTTAGTTTCTTTTAGTTATCCGCAGTGGACTTGAAGGAAGGGAAATGTTTAGAAAATATTCTGTTATGCTACAGTTGTAGAGAAAATTCTGATTTCTTCAGGCCAGTCCATCTTTAGAGAAACAAATTATGTCTCAAAAGGTTTGAAGAGGAGAGGGCCCAACATATTAATACAAAATGATAAAATTTATAATTACCTCTTTTTGATCTTTCTTTGGGTGTGTTACAGTGGAAGCGTTTGCCGTTTCAGAAGTCCCAGAACTCTGATTGAAGCTGTTTGAATTCCTCCACTGTTCTCTTCTCCTTAATTTGTCTCCCTGCATGAAATGATGCAAATCAGTTGGTTTTCCACTTATTTTTTTCCTGACAGTCATTCTTGAAAGGCAAAATTTTTTCACAGAATGTAAAACATCCATGAAGTTTAGACTCATATAATCAAAGAATGATTTGGGTGTTTGGGTTGGAAGGGGCCTTAAAGATCATGTAGGTTCAATGAGAAGAGAATCTTTCACTAGCAAGTTTTTCTTTTTACAAATAATTAAATAGTTTTCCTAAAATGCTTGTAAAAGATTTATGCTTTCAGCTATAGGCAGAAGATCTAAGTGATCAGAATCAGACCTCAGTTCTTCTGACACTACAAATTTCAAGAAATACCAGATTCCACTGCAGCAGGGAATGAATTTCTGACATCAAATGCTTATGGGAAAGACATTTGAAACAGCCACAGATGATTCTAAGGTGATCAGTGATTTTTGCTTCTTTGAGAATTTGTCCAAAGAGACTGCACTGATAATGTTTCCTAATATTACCATACAAGTCAATCCAAAAAAAGATCCATCCAACCCTAGCAATTCTTTCATTCTGTGAAAGAGTTCCTGTATCTTCTGTTCCATATTTGACATTCCTGTATGGATGTGACAGACACCTGAAATGTCTCCAGTATTGCCTCTGCACAGCTGTCATGGAAGTAAAAATGTCTCACACATGCAGAAAGACTTGAGCTTTATCCTGCCCAACACAACAAAATCAAGAGATATAAAGGGGAGTCAAAAGTTCCATGGAGGTGAGCAGGTGACTAAAAATAACCCAAACAATAGTAAGAATTTATTTTTTAAGGTATAGCTTTTGTTTACATTCCCTTTGTATTCCATGAACATAGAAGGAACATACAATCAACACAAGAGGCCTGCCTTCAAAAAAATCCAGGTGCAAGGCAAAGGAGACAAAAAGAAAGAATGTCTTGATCGAGCTTTGTTTATCAATTGACAGAAATAAATGGAAATAAACCAGTCAGAAGCAGAATTTGGCTGTTATTGAGGAGAATGATAAAAAACTGAACATTCAACATATCAATGAATAACCAAGAATATTTGGTAGACCTTTTACTGTAAGAAGAAAGTAAAATTGCAGAAATGACTGAAAGGATAATATTTACTGTTGACTATTTGAGATTGTATTTACAGATGGAAGTTGTGGCATTCACATTCTCTGATAAAATCCCTTCGCCCTGGATTTTTCTCCTGGGAAGCTGAGAAGCCTCAGAGAAAAGGAAAACAATTCTTATCTCATTTACTTCTCCTGTGTAGTGCTCATGTGGAATGTGTTTGGAAATTGTTTACCCACAAGTGATTGTTTCATTGGATTCTGGTGTGAGTTGTTTTGACTCTCTGGCCAATTGGGGCCAAGCTGTGTAGGGAGTTTTCCTTATTATCTTTTTAGCCTTCTATAAATATCCTTTCTGTATTCTTTAGTATAGTTTTGTATAGTATTCTTTAACATAACATAGTATTATAAAATAATAAATTAGCCTTCTGAGAACATGGAGTCAGATTCATCATTCCTTCCTTCGTCGGGGCATTCCCTGCAAATACAATAGAAAGTTCACAATAATTTTTCAAATACCAGTATTTCTTACCTGTTTCCTGTATTCTACAGCTGTGTGCAAAATGCGCCCCTCATCCCCTTCCTTGGGGTAAGCCTCTGCTTCTGTAATGGGAACACAGGTACTGGGGCTGGTCAAAATTTCTTCATATTTCCTTGCTAGTGAGGAACTCTCTTCCATATGGCCACACTCTATATCAAAGGAGCTGTGGTCTATGTATTTCCTGACATCTGTCATGGGACAATTAGTAACCTCTATGCCCTTCCCAGAAACTTCTGCCAAAGTCTTCTTTTTGTTTGCTCTTCTGAGGCTTCCCCTCATTCTCCTGCAGCAGTGATCCCAGATTCTGTCCTTCACAGCCTTCAGGGTCTTGTGAATCTGTGCAATGGCAATCTGATATTTAGTCCCTTCTCCAGGCTCCTCTTGTGCCTCTGGGCCATCAATGTTGAATGAACTCAGCAGCAAAGCAATGAACAGGTTGAGCACCTTAAAATAAAGTAAGTTGGAGACACAATTGCTAACAGAAGAGACACTTCAGACTTGCTTTCATTAACCCCCAGTAAATAATGAAATTATTTACTATTACTCTAGAATATTGAAAAAGCATGATATGGCTCCTTCTTGAAGGACTGGCAGCAGAAAAAAGGAGGGAAGTGAGAGTTTGGGTATATCAAATATATTTTCACATACTTTGATGTCCATAGTGTATGAGGAGGCAGTTGTAGAAAAACAGTATGCAAAGATTAATTTTAATTACATCGCCATCAAAAAGGATCTGATATAGACCAACAAACCAAGCAGATGAAAAAGATTTTCTCTGCCAGTAAATTTACAATAAATCTAGTAAAAACCCAAAAATCTGTTTTCTGTAAACTTTTGATAACATAGGGGCAATGTGTTAAGCATTAAAAGAACTCAACCAGCTCAGAACTCATAAAAAGAACTCAGTTTGGTGATTTGGTTCCATCAACACAAAAGATGAAGACATATGACACCAAATTATGATAAGCTCTGCACTTCTATACTGTGGCTAGAAGGAATAATTTTATTTTGCTTCTATGAATTGTGTGAGAAAGAGAAAGAAAGGGGAAAAGGAAAAAAAGAGACAGAACAAAACCATGTCAAGTGACACCCAGAAAAGAGAATAAAGTGAATACTTTTCAAAGAGTTAAGTTTTCCTCCAAAGAAAAAAGTAACTGGATGCATTCAGTAGGGACTGAAAATGGACTTGAAACTCACCACCAGGTTTCCTAGCACCAGGACGAGCAAGAAAATGGTGACACATTTCCTTTTTCCAGCCACTTCCATGCATTCCCACATAGTTTCAATCCATTCTCCACATAATATTCGGAATATAATGAGGATTGAATGACTAAAATCCTTCATATGCCAGCGTAATTTGCAATTGGAGCTTATATTACAGGCATTTTTGCTATAATCACTGCTCAAAATCTGAATTCCTACTATAGCAAAAATAAATATAGTGATTGCCAAAACCAGAGTGAGGTTACTCAGTGCACCAAATGAGTGTAGAATTATTTTCATAAGAGTGTTTAAGGCTGGCCAGGACTTTGCCAATTTGAAGATCCTGAGCTGTAAATAAAACACAGGGGAAAATAAAGTTAAAACAGCCCAGATAGCACAGCACACAAGAAAGCCAGACCCCACATTTACCATGATGTCTTTACTGCAGTAATATCACTATTTTTTCCCCCAAGAAAGCCTTTTAATTGTTTTGATGCAATTAAAATCACTCCACTTAAAAGCTCATGTTGTTTTACCAAAAAAGAAAACAGATTTAACATATTCATCAGTAAAATAATATGAGGGTATTTCACTATACAACACATCTACTTTTAAAAAAAATAATTCTTTTAAAATAAATAATTACCAGCCTGAAAGGTGACAGTTTTGTTCCAAAGCTTGCTAGGCCAATCAAAACAACCAAGCTATCAAAAACATTCCACTTTTCCTGGAAATAGTAGTAAGGATCTAGAGCAATGATTTTCAAGATCATTTCTGCAGTAAAAATCAGGGTGAAGATCTGGAAAGACAAAATGAATTTCAGAAAAAAAGTCACTGAACAAGTCTGTCTCTTCATGGGAGTGTCCCAGTATGAATCCAGGGTCATAACTCAATTTTTAATCTAATATAGACTTAACTTACCTTGTCACTCAGAGTAATCAGTTTTTGGTTTTCATCTTTCATGCCAGGGTGCTCCATAGCCAGGAACAAGGTATTCAAGATAATGCAAACCACAATGAAGAGATCAGCAAATGGATTAAAAATTACCAATTTCATCTTCTCTTTGACTGCTCTCCAGAATGGACAACAATTCCAAATTAGATACTTTTGAGGGAAATTTTTCCAAAATGTAGGACAGTTCAGTTTTGACTCTGTCAGACAAAGAGGGAAAGTGACATATGAATAATCCTTTGTAGAATATCACAGAATGAAGAAAAAGACAATAATTCATTAAAAGGATTGAAAAGTCAATCTCACATGAGCAGAATGATATCATAGAAAAAATTTTTTTGCTCATTCTGCACAAACCAATCACAGACTAATAAAGGTGAGGCAAAATTTACCCTTGGTAATTGCGAGTTACAGGAGATATGAGAACATTTCTTTTACTGATATTTACATTTGGCAGCATAATTTTCCCTAGAGGCTTTGAAAAGAATGGTGTTTGTGACAGTTTGATCTCTCAGGTCAAGTTACACCATCACCACAGGAAAAAGAGGAAAGAATGACTTACTTGAATTATCTGTAAGAATTGTGGCTGCACTCATTAACCTCTGTCTTCGGACAGGATCATTGATAGCATCCATTGAGACCTCATAGTCCAGCAGGATCTGCCTCTTTGGTCAGAAAGACAGCAGAAGATGAAGATGTAATAATTACAATACAAATATTACAGGGGAACATGAAGATGTAATAATTACAATACAAATATTACAATACTTGCAATGCAAAAATTATATCCAGCAGGAGATAAATATGCCTTTTCAAATACGCATTATAGCAAAGCTTTTACTTGCTGAAAGAACATAAAAAAAAAATCAGATGCTTGAAGACAAAGAACATGTCATTAAAAGCAGTACAATATTTCAAGAATTTTTTCCTTTCTGAAGACATTTAATTAGCAGTTATATTTCCATTATAAAAGAATAACAGGGGGCAAGGGAAGATAATCAATCTGTCTTTTCCAGTGAATAATAAACAGACAAAAAACCCACTGTCCATCAGTTTGAATAAACTGTTGGCTATTTAACTATGAACTACTGATTTTTAATAAATAATCATGTATTACTATGAAAAATAGTCACTTAGTTAATACAAATTATTGGGATTTTTAGCCCTATTAAGCCTATCAAGATCTAAATAATATTGAACTGCCTAAAACCAGGAATGGGACTACTTTTGTTTTCATTAGAACTACCAGATGACAAGGAACCTGATAGCCAGGGGGTAGACAGACTGACCACAGCACAATGCACTGTATTTTATAATTCCCTCTCAGCACAATTGCATTTGCATAATTTTATTATTTGGGAAGGATAAATGAATGAGAATATATCATAATGTTACCTCAAACTCCTATGATATTATGATTTTTATAAACTTATTCCATAAAGCTGTTATTCAGGGAATGAAACCGATATCCTTGGCCTTAAAAGTTTAATAACAATTATTTTTTTTTTCACTCTGATGAAAAATGATTTTCATCATTTTTTTTAATGAAAAAAAAATTTTAAAGAAAATCTAAGCAAACTTAGCTGATAGAGCTATCAGAGAACAAACCTATAAAATGAATTGATAGTACAGTGCTAAAATGCTCATTTTCCCCTCTGTTTTTTCTCTGAATCCAAGAGGCTCCAAAGACTCTTGTAATCATGGCCTGTGCAAGTCACCCTTCATTCTTTTCTCTAAGATTTGGTGTCTCAGACAACAGAAACCCAGAATAATTTGTGTCTCAGCCTGACTAAAGTTCTCAGTCATCTTGTTGAAATTCACAGCTGTTAAGGAACCTCAGAGTTGTGGTTTTGGAAAGGACAAGGACATTCACCCACACTGAACTGGTTACTGCTGCTCATTGATCTTTAGCTGAAGGAAATAATTGGGCATGAGAAGTCCTCTGACAAATTGGGATTTAAAATAGGGATGTGCACTATAATGTTATAAACTCATTCTGTCCTACCAAAAAGCTTCTACCCAATGTGATTTTTAGCATCTTCAGCCTCTTTTTGTGATGAAAGTAGAGAGGACATTGTTTGGGGAATCCTCAAACAGCAGAGCCTGTACTACCAGTAGTTGTCATAACATGGAATAAACTGCCATGTTTGTTGCAGATTATTATTATTTGAATAAAGGTAAAGATATACATTGGAGAAGCTCACAGTGCTTGGATCATACTTTAGGCTTTCCTAGAGATCTTCAGAACTTTGTCATTCCCTGGACACAGAGAGGGGAAGGGACCTTGGAAAGGTCTGAAGATGTTATTTCTGAGATATAAAAATCCAAATTACATTTGGCATCCATCTGTGCAGACTTTGCAGCCTTGCAGAAGTAAGGTCTAGTAAATAATCCACTTTTATTTCCTGTCTCATACATCTCCTGCAGCATAGTCACAGATTTAAGAGAATAAAGTTAAATAGAAATAAACAGCCATAAAAATTAATTTTATACTTACAGAACATATGACACATATTATGAATTTTATTTTTTTTTTCTGAATAGATACAATAAACCATTACCATGGGCTGTGACACAGCATTTCTTTTACGTGCAGCAGAACCAAACTAGGTCACAAAATTGAATTATATTCTTAACACAGCAGGGGAAACATTATTGACACTACAAGAAGCAAATGCTTTACCAAAGGAGATGACAGGTGGCTGCCAAGTGGGTGATTTGGATTCCTTCAGCTCAAATATAGAATTTATTATAGCTGGGATTATGGAATTTAGAAGAAATTCTGACCACGATGACTGTCAGAATGAGAATTTAATCAATTTTAGCTAGGATTATATGTCTGAGAAAGACTTCCCTCTAAGGATACTTTTCAAACAAACCAAAGTTGGAACATTATTTCTCTTAGCTTTGCTATGAGAAAATTTTCATTTTCAGTGAGATGGGTGGAACAATTCTGATGTTCTCTCAGAAGCCAAAGAGAATCTGTCTCAGGATGAAACCAGCACAAGGGCATGAGAAGCTTTCTTTTTAGATATTGTTGAAAAGAATTAAGTAATATGGATAATTACCTGAGAATTATTTTGAAAGAATCAGCTCAAGATTAAAATATCTAAATATAGGTATCTAAATGAAGATGTTGACAAAGAGCCAGAGAAAGAATAAAGTTGGGATGGTCTTCTAGAAGATACAGTATTTTGTCATTGGCAAAGGTACTGTGAAAAAAAATCTCCAAAATTAAGCAAAGAAAGAATAATGAGTCTTAATAGAAGTTTCTTAGTGGACTTAAAAATGAGTGGTCAGCAGTGGAGCCAGAAATCACTGCTGTAAACGAGATGTGAAACAATATGTGTGAGATTTAGCCTAATGTTTTAGATATCCATGCTTAATTTATCCATGTGTGCAATGCATTTAAAATCCCAGTATATGGGACACATGTTTCTGATAAGTTTTATTCACATAAATAAATGTTTCTGAAGCCATTTGAGATGGACTATTGAGACATTTGGTAGTTGAGACATCCACAGCAGCAGACATGGCACATAACATCTGTGCCCTTCCATAGAGGAGGTGAAAGCCAAGTAAGACACTAGAAAAGCCCTAATGTCACTAGGTATCAATTTGTGACCTGGAAAATTAAATCTCCACTTGACTCTGGGAGTTTAGAACCTAGAACACATGTAGAAATCTTAAAAACCCCATAAGTCCAAAAATTCAAACCCTGGACAGAATCTAGTTGCCTAAATGTAGATATTTAGCAACATTTGAGATGCTGTAAGGTTTATGAGATACACACAAAGTGCTGGAAGATGTGCCACAGATAATAAGGATATCTAGAACATCCACCATATGCAAGAGCAACTAAACTGGCACCAGATGTTTAAAGTCAGCAAGTGAATCACATCCCAAAAATCAGAAATCTTCATATGAACTAAACCCTATCCTAAATATTTAGGTCAGATAATGAGTTGTCTGTAGAAAAGAATAATAATTTAAAAAATAAAATTAAAAAAAATAATTAGGTCTTTAGGAAAAAACTCTTCAAATTAAGAATTTTATACATTTATTTCTGCAGCACAAACAGAGATGTTGACAGAGCACAGGTCTATGATGTGCCACAAGTGACAGCCACTTCCAACTTCCCTCTCAGGTGCAGGTAATGCTGGGGCTCCCTCTGCTCCCAAAATCTCATCCCTGAATTGTCATATCACATGCAAATCTAATGAATGTATTTTATACTTCAAATACTTACAAGCTTCTTGTGGCAGCGATCAGGCTGTGAACGAAATATTTGCTCCTCATTTTCCTGGTCATTTGAAATTAAGTTTTGCCTTGAAGTAGGTGTTTCTTTATTACTCTCTTTTCCTTCTGAATTTTTCAAGTCAGCAACTGGCATTTCAGATGCAGCATGCAAGGCCTTACTGCTTTCTTCCACAGCCAACATCTGTAACAGGAAAAGCAAAACATCTGCCTGTTAATTCAAGGCAAATACCAATGCATGGACTAAGAGCATATACATGTAATTATTATGATATCTGAATTATTTGCACTGACAGTTCCTGGGTTTCAAATGTTAAACTATCATCAAAAGACAGGAATAAAAAATGTTATGCACAATTCTGAAAGACATAGCAGGGTTACCTGTGAGCTACTCTAATTAAAGTCTGCCCTTGTCACTTTAAATATTGTATTTTTTATCTGATTTACAAAGTATGATGGCTTATCCTTTTACTTTCCTTTTCTTGATTTGAAAAGGACCTTGAGTCCATGACAGTAGAAGACTAAGGGCTCAAACTAAATGCTAAAATCTTAAATTTTCCTAAATCCTAATCCTGTTGAAAGAAAAATAGAAATAAGGAAAAAGAAAAACAGAAGGAAGAAAAGCCTAAGCAAAGCCTGTCAAGGTGGAATATCAGACACAGAAATATTACAGAACTGTCAACAACTGTAGAGGAGGAACTTCTGGAAACTTTTCAAACTATTTCGGTAAAATGGTGATGCCTAACACTTCAATGATGAAATTTGATAGTTGCTAGAGAATATTTGCTTGTCCTCTTACAAGTCTGACCTTTCTGACTTCTAGCAGTAAACCAGGGAAATCTTTCATTTAAGGTGGGAGATAAAATGTATCCACTCATACTTCCTTCCTGCAGTAATATAAGGAAGGGATGCCCAGAGAAAGGCACAGTAATAATGGTACTGTACAACAACAGGACAAACTATGGAGTGCAGCATTCATGGAATATCATAAAAATTACTTTCTTGCCAGAAAGGCATTCCTGTACAATGTCAGGTCTGCAAATCCTAAAACTTAGTATATTTTAACTTGGATTTATGATGGATTTTTGTATAACATAAATGTACATGCATACATACATTTGTAAAGACATAAAGAGAAATGAAGTGTCAGAAAGTATTGTAAGAAGCCCATGTTTAATTCATAACACCATTTCCCTAATTCAAAAACAGAAAAAAACAAAAGGAACTAAAGGAACTACAGATCATATATGATCATTTACAAACCTGTTCCTTCTCTATAATTTGTCTGGCATCCTGAAGCATTTTTTCTTTTGCCTCTGTTTCAGCACGGGTTGCTCTGTTTTCCTCTTCATATGCCATGGTTACCACAGCCAAGATCAGGTTGAAGAGATAAAATGAGCAGAAGAAGATGACTGCCATAAAAAAAAAGATGCAGGACACTCCAGAGGTACGGATGGTCTGTGAGGACAAGAGAAAAGTGGCAATAAATTCCAAACAAACTAATATTTACAAAACAGTTTCAAAAGAAATGTAAACTATTTTTCTATGCAATAGAAAAGTTGAATGTATTACAGTGTTTTCAATGAAAAACATTAGGATCTGCTTCTGGTCTAAGTTATACATAAAAATGTCACATACTGCAGAAAAGAATTAAAAAATTAAAATGAAATTAAATATCTTCCAGCAAATCAGGCAAATGATCAACAGAGTTTGAGCTATGAGAAGACAAATTCATCTGTAAAGACATAAACAGGTGACTGTAGAAGACATTAATGAAACTCAGTAATAAAGATGAAAGCTAAAATTACTATAAAATCATGAAAGATGTTTTAATTGCAGAATCAGAGGCAACATTTAGACTGGTTATCTTATATTTTTTTTAATGGTAGCAGAGGAGATGGTTCAAAATTAAGCTCTGAGACATTAAAAACTAAAAGTAACATGATCTTCAAAGCGCAAAAGATGTTGCATCCATTTAAAAAAGTCACAGTTAATAAAGGCTGATGGAAAAAAGATTTAAAATGGTGCAATATGAAAGATACAGAATAAGGCAGAGAGTATTGTTCCTGTGTGGCAAAGGCACTGTATAGATATAAGGGATCCAGGAAGTTCTCTACAGGTATTTTTACATCATTTTTTCAAAAAAACACAGAATTGAAAAGTTACATTCAATTCTCAGAATCAAAATATAAAGTCCCCAATTTTTTTAGTACCATGTTGTCAAAAATGAAAGTGTGTACGTTGAGCCAAAAGGTTTGGTGAGGAGTCAGCATTTCAAAGGAAGACAAACAGAGAATGTGACAAATCCTCACATTCCCTGCAGTAGCAGGGAGCTCCCTGGCTGGATCTGCTCCATATCTCAGTCCTTTGGTGGTTACATACAAATATTTAACTCTTATGTAGCTCTTAATCACCTGAGAGTGTTCTCCAACAAAACTCTGAGCATTCACAGCAGGGTTGCTGCCACCCAACATCACTTGCAGAAGGTGCTACAGCTCAGTCACTTGACTCTACTTCCTTAAAACTTACATTGATTTTAGAAGAAAATTGGTGTCAGTAATGTTAAAACCAATACAGACTTTTCTAGTGGACATAAAGCTCTGATTTGCACATCTAAAGTCATTCCAGCAGTACCCACTTGTCTGTAGAGACGCTCCCAGTTGTCCTGGGTCATCAGCCGGAACACAGAGAGGAAGGCCCAGCCAAAGTGGTCAAAACTTGTATAACCAAAGTCAGGATTTTTCCCAATCCTCTCACAGGTGTAGTTCTCTGGACACCCACTTCTAACCACAAAAAAAATGTTAAACAATACTTATGTGGAGATTCAGTTGAATCTGAATGCACCTAATACATGGCAACAAACAAAGATTTGTTCAGTTTGTCTGAAAAGAGGTTTCATTATTCCCCAAAATATTCCTGCCAGAAGGGCTGATTCATATCTGACCATCCCAGAAAACCATTTATCTAGTAAAGAAAACTAGACAGAAACCTTAGTTTGGGACTAGACAAAAACTCTCATTGATGTAGGATATGTCCTAACAAATACAGAGAGTCAGGGAAAATGGAAATGCCTTTATTTTTAAATAATTCACTAAGATGAGGAGAGGAGAATTTATTAATATCTAAAAGTCTTTAGTGATCTGTTCCCCTTCTCATTTTTATCATTCTACCTTATCATTATACTCCCAGTAGTTAGCAACAAAGTACATATAAAATTGGCTGCATTCTTGTTCTTCATCCTTTTTCTGGTGTGAAATATGTGGTTTTTCATTTAATAACACATCCATTGATCCATTTCTTTCTCCTGAAAAATCATTGCCATTCTTTTAGACCAAAAATAAAACCATAGTTCATCTGAGGGAAAAAAAATGAAGGAAGTACTAAAACTGCTTTGTTCACTTACTTGTTACCTCCACTGTACTCACACAGCAATATTTCAGAAGTGTCTTTCAATCTGAAGCATTGCTCTAATATAAAAAAAAAATTAAAGAATCATAAAATTAGAAGTTTTCAGTTTCTACAGCTTTCTGACAGTAAACCAAATATCACTACACTTTATAAACACTATGATGGATCAAACCTCTGTGAAAGATCCTTTCCCAAGAGGACTGATTGTCAGCAGATCTGTCTCTCTGGCAATTTAAAATAAACAGTAACAATTTGCTGCACAACTAACAATGTAAAATTCTATTTGATCTTTGGCAGAAATAAGAATCTCTATGTAAAGTAAACAAAATCCATTAATTACAGAGTAAGTGATTGAAAAAATCATTCTCTGTGCAGTAACCCTAAAATTAACATCCCTGTGCAATGCACATATAAGGAAGAAAATGCTTATAGAAAACTCAGTCCCTCCATCCCACAGATTGCTGATCTTTCTCCAAATCCAAGATTCACTAATCTCATATTCAGTTGTCCTAGAGACTTCATACTACTACTTGTGCAAATGGAAGGACAAACCTTCTTGGCAGAAATACATTCAACTATACATTAACATGTCTGTGAAAAATCAATACATACATAGGAAAATACACAGATTATGTAAAGACAGAAAAGAAAAACATTTACCTGCATCATTTGGTACATATATCTTGGCCTCCTTGCATAATGAGTCATTGTACAGAGTTTTATTGAGGATACATTTGGATTTTAAATTGCCCATAAAGAGCTGAAGGCCTATTAGTGCAAATATACTCAAGCAAAATACAGTCAGGATCAGCACATCCAAGAGCTTCCTAACAGACTCAACAAGTGAATTTACAATGACTTTCAGACCTAGGAAAATAAGATCCAGTAACATAAAATGTCAGAAAAGGAATGTAATGATGCTCCTATATGACAAGTCATGACAGATGCAGGTTTGTTAAGGACAAAGTATTGATGTGTGGCTTTTGCACTAAAATTAAACACCTTAAATGCTTCATTAATGCTATAATTTCATAAAGAATCAAAATATATTTACAATTACATGGAAATTATAAAGTTAATATATACTGTGACCATGAGATATACTGTAATTTATAGATTTTCAAGCCAATTTTTGCAGTTGGACTCTGAAGTCATTCTTTGGTACCCTAATTAAGGACACAAGTTACAAAAAATATTGAATTCTGGATGGCATATACAACACACTGTCCAAAGTATTACATACAATCTAGAGAGTGGCTGTGGTCAGTAAGGAAACAAATTAAAGTCTCTCAAATTGTAAAATCAACATTCTGGGAAATAAACCAGACAAGGATTAGCTAATGAAGAAGAAAATGAAACCAGAAATATGGTGGTTTAGGTATATTATGTTAAGAAAACATATTACATACAGTGGGCTGCTCCAGGAAGACAAATTAAAGAGACATAGGCACTGGGCTAAATATAAATGTACATCAGTAATGGGATAAAAAATAATAAAATAATAATAATGCAGAATATAAATTTGCCTTTGTCATTTGAAGGAAAAATTATTTAAAAAATTGTTTGGGTGCTGCTGAGGGTGCAAAACAGTCACACCTTGGGGTCACAAAAAGTGACCAGAGAACTGGAAGACAAGAACAGGAGTGGAATTAGAATTTGCATTCTGGTGAAGCAGAGAGAAAATCAGTAAGGTGTGTTGTTCCTTACCTGGTATTACTGAAATAGCTTTCAAAGTCCTCAGTACTCTGAAAGTTCGAAGAACTGAAACATTGCCAACACTATGAGATGCAGCCAGGTACCTGCAAAATTAACCCACACTCAACTGAATGACCAAGATGGAGCTTTTCAAAGCATTTTCTTCTTGAGCAGGCAGTAATGAATTCACTGCATAAAATACATCCTAAGATACATGCCTAAAATTAGGAATCTAAGTCCATTTCTAGGCATGGATTAAAGTAATGGGGCTTTGGAGCAGTGCCTCTGAAAAGAAATACAGTAAGTTCCTACTTTGGGTGGATTTGGATGCTTTAGCTTTGGAAGAGTTTATCCATCAAAATGTCAAATAAATATAAAACTGCCAATGTCATAACCACACTCTTACACTGAGACTTCTCTCATGAAAGTACATGTTGCTATCTCAAAACAAAATACACACTTCAGGAGAAGGAAGTTGAGCAACAGAGATTTATAATGTGTTTATTCAGTACCACATGGGGCTCTCTAACCTTTAACAGTCACTAAGAAGTTGAGTATTGCAACTTGTTTCAATTTTAACATTTCAACAATTAGAAAATTTCATCAAATCAGTATTTTAAAGCATTGCATAATCTATACAGCACTTTTACAGGTTACCCCAAATTTTCTAAGACTTCTTTATGTCAGATAGGATATGAATTGTGACTCATCTCATGACGAGCTCATAACTGGTAATGGAATTCCTTAAAAAATAAAGTCTCAATAAAAAAACTGAGACAAAAATGGTTGAAAAGGCAACCTCCCCCTCAAAGCATGACTTTGTCAGCAGCAGATCAGAGCACATTGGCTTTGCTAGTCTTGAATAATTAAGACTGAATAATTATCAAGTACCCTAAGCAATATTTACACTTGAGTTAGCAGCTGACCTAATTTCTAAATAGTTTTCTTTGTTGTACTATAAGACATGGAAAAAACCAGGTGGAGGTACTGTATTGTAAAGTTGAACATTAATTAATTAGGGATGCAGGTAGGGGAAAAGGACCATAAATTAAATTTTTCATGCAACTGTTGGACTGTCTTGTGATAGTTGTAACTAACAGTAACTATCTAGTGATAGATGCTGATGATCAACAGTATTCAAGCTCCTTAGCAGTTCATTTTTACCTGTAAGGTTAATTGTTCATATACATATTGATGTGTGTGATGACACCTGGGTACATATCATCTATTAATTACAAATGAGGAAAAACCTACCTGTAGTGCTACAAACTACTCCCTTCTTTTTTATTCTACCACCTGACAACTTCATTTGGTGCCTTTAGCTGTCATTGTAGGAAGAAAAATATTATTTATTCTCTTTTTGTCTCTGTGCTGTACACTTCAACCGTGTTCCTGCTCTGCAATTGTCTTTTCATGTGAGTTTTACTCTATGTAGTTTTTGGTATGTGGAACTACAGATATACATATTCACTGCAGTTTTTTTAATTCTGACATCTTTTGACATGTGAGGAGCAAAACTACACAAAGTCCTGAATCAAAACACAGGCTACACAAAGAAATAATGTGTGCTCTTCTTCTTTAGTTCTTACTCCTGAGGTCTTAATTTTCTACCTCCTTCTCTGACCATGAGTTGTTGCTGGAGTGGGGCTTTTACAAAGCTGTCTGTTTAAACTCCAACATCATCTTCCCAGCAAGTGGAGGCTATTCCAGAGCCCATGAATTTGTATGTAAAGCAAGGTGTGTTCTTCCTTGAGCAGCATTTGACACTGGGATTTCACCAGTTATTTACCACCAAGTCACTCAACACCTTGTGCCCCATTTTGGACCCTTCTCAAATGAGTTTCATTGGATCCAGAGCACAGCTAAGATAACATAAAGGGGCAGGCTTGGTTTGGGCAGTTTATGCAATTACCTCTTGACAAAATTCAAATAAAGACTAAATTGAGAACAATCACACAGTTCTAAGATGAGCTTTTAATTTAGGTCTTACTTTAAAGTCTGTTTTTCTCATTGCAGGCATGCAAAATGTTATTCAAGCACAGTTTAGCAGGGAGGATACCAACAACTGTAAGGAATTTCAGCAACACCAAATGTTATTTTCTCTTATTTGTCCCCTGAGTGTAAAAGAAAAACTGAGTTTTACTTACATTACAATAATAATAGAAAAATCCAAGCAGTTCCATGGATCTCGAAGAAAAGTAAATTCATTCCAAACAAATCCTCTTGCTACTACTTTAATCAATATTTCAGTGGTATAGACAGCAGTAAAAACATGTCTGAGGAGGAAAGTGTATATTGAAGTTACAGAAATAAAAATATCAATGAGACTGATACACATTCAGGCACATTTCTATGTTTTCTCTGATTTAGTCCCTGCATGGAGATAAAGGTAGAAAATGTGAAGGAAAATAGGACAGGTTGCATTACTTTCAGAAGCATCATGGGGACAAGATGTCTTCCTGAATTTTAGAAATTTTTCCATATAAATCTAAAAACACAAGCATTCACATAAGCATATGATGCTATTTCTGGATGAAAGATAGCTCGCATTTCCTTAAGAAACATTTTTAAGACTGTGTTTATGTTCTAAAGCAGGCTGGGAAAGTTCAAAGCCTCACCCTTCTGGCAGAACAATAACAACAAAGATGTATTTCAGCCTGTTAAGTTTGCACATTTTATATATTTATTCTGACAAATACACTACTACTGAAAGAAATCCTACAGAAAATTAAGTTCTCACCATGCTTACCCCAAAATAAAAGGAATTAAAATTACAGAACTTCTGAGGCTCCAGGAACATTTTCCAGATTTAATAATGGAATATGAACTCAAATTACACTGGATACAGTGCACAAGTACCAAAGGAAGAAAGACATTACAAATAAGTGGCTTCCTAGTGAGAGCAACTTAGGGGAGTCACCAGGAAACAGAGGAAAGCACAGAATGAATATTTATTCCTTTATAGCTTTTGCATGAGGCAACTACAACAGGCATTCAGGTTATTGTTGTAGAATGAAAGATATTAAGTTAAAATCCTGCTGCCCAGTCTCTCAGAAAGATTTAATCCTCAAAAGGAAAAATGGGCCAACCTCCTCTGTTACTCCAAATGGCAAAATTAGGCAAGGCAGAAAAAAGGGCATATGGTGAGAACCTCTAAGAAAAGGCACTGAATCTCCACAAAAGACTGGGTGATATAATAACAATCCTCAGCCTTCCTCAGGTGTCTATCCAAGAATTTTCAAGCCCCAGAATTAGACCACCACATTATTTAAAATTTTAATCCTGCACATTAGTATCCATGGAAAAATAGTGAGCACATGGCCACTGAGGTACTTACTCAGTCCAGTTGGTTTCTACAAGGTGAGGGATAGTCATAGTCATACAATTGACTAACACAGTAAATGTAATAATGCCAAGAAAAACTGTGAATAGTAAGTCAAGGAAAAATCCTCTATATTATACAAAATGAGGTTCATGCAAGTTGCTGATTTCCACACACAAACACCACACAAGCATTCATAAGATAACTTTTCATTTGAATATGCTCAGAATTTTTCACGTGTTTTCCAAAGAAACTTATCACAAATTATCCTGAGTTGGAGAGGACCCACAAGGATCACCAAAATCCAGTTCCTATCCTTGCATAGGACCATTTCAAGAACCTCCCACCAAGATCAAATCTTCTCAGCTGGGTAAAATTCATGTTTTAAATATAAAAATGAATTCTCTGCATGTGGAGATGGTTTTAGAAGTTAGGACAGTAGTGGGACATAACACATTTGACATGTTCAGATATGTTCACCTAAAAAGACTTATTTCCACTAAGTAATTATTTGGAATTAATAATTCCAAATAAAAGCAGAAAAAGCAGAAACAGAGGAACAGAATGACAGAAAATGGCACAGAATATTTTCATATTCAAATCACGGAAACCAATGAAAGGATATGAATGGATCAGAATTTTAATTGCCTTTCTTCTGACTGGATTAAAAGGACCAAATATAAACAAGGCAGGTGTGGCAGAAAATCGGAAAATGGTCCTCCTTTTATTTAACACCATAAAAGTCTATTTAAAAGAAAAAAGATTCATAGTACATGAAACATTTGAATGAATTAAAAATTTGTGCAAAAATTACTTGTTGAGTTTTTCATGTCTGCATCTAGAGCTATATCTAACTGCAGTTAGAGCACAGCTTTCCTTTATTCTGACTTGGAGCTGTGACCTGATTATTCAGATTTTGGAGAAAAGCAGCTCTGTTGAAGTTCATTATTGCCTGAGAGGAAGAAACCATAATGGGAATGAATATGAAGAGCAAGTAATCATATTCATTTGGTCAAAGTAATTAAATTACTACTCTGGGACTGTAACAATGGTCTTAATACCTTACTCGTAGACAGTGTTACAGGCTACAAGAGATTATTTACAAGATGTAGATTGTGTAGCACTGCCAAAATCCTGGACAGTCAAAGCAAAATTTTAATTTTGAAGTATCTCTAGATTGTAACATAACACTGTAAATTCATTCTAAGCTACCTTAAGGTCCATGCAGCTCAGCACATTTGCCATATAGTAAAAATGAAATCTCTTGAATGAAAAACAGTTTCCTAACTTTAATATAAATTTCTTCAACTCAATCAACCTTAGTTCTTCTTCATCAATAGTATCACTTTGATTACTTTAAGAAAAAGGTATCTGGAAGATCAAAGTCTAAAGCATATTCTCTGATAAAATTATTACACTCCAATACCTTGCTGGCATACATTAAAACAGCAACTAGGACTGGATGAAACCTTCTGCTATTCATATCAAGTCTTCTTTGACAGTAGTAATAATTTAATTTAAGTATTTAATTTAGAAGGGATTCCTAGACTATCTATTTTAGATACCGCTATAGTCAGCATCCCCAACCACTTTGGAATAGCATGGAGTATGTGCAATATAAAGATGGAACAACAAACAAAGCCAGTGAGACAAAGTTACAGAAAATTAATTTAAGACAATGAAAGTATATAGGTTTGCTACACAAAGTAATGGAAATGTCTTAAATGTGCCTCTCTTAATTTGTATAGTATTTGTAATTCAGTGAAAGCATCTGCAATTCCAGTGTGACCAACTGTTGGACAGGCACTCTTTACACAGCAGGGAGCTCAGCCCCACAGGCATCAGAGAAACTGCTCTGGAAAACAAAGCATCACTAAGCCCAGAACATATTTACTATTAAAGTGCACCATTCACATATAATGTTTTCATAATTAACTTTGATTCTTGACTGGAATTTAAAATAGCTCTTCATTTCATAATGCAGAGCATATCTTAGAACTCCTCCTCAAAAGCTGTCAGTAATGTTCAAAGCTCTGTCTACAGAGCAACCAAACCCCAGCACCTCCTGAACAGAGCTTTTACTATCCCTTCAGCGCTCAGCAGGCAAAAATAAAAATAAAAATAAAAATAAAAATAAAAATAAAAATAAAAAGTTTTGGGAAGTTTTAACCTTGTGATCACTGTAGTATGGATCAAAATCCTCCAGGGGTTCCCCAACCAGCTCTGCAGGAATGTCCCCATACAGAGATGGCAACGTTTTGCAGATTTTCAGGTCAAGCTGAGGAGTAAGTTTATCTTCTTCAACTCCTTGTTCTTTAGTCTCCTTAGTCTTCTCTTTAACTTTGTCTTGCTCCTTTTTTTTGTTGGCAATCCTTTCCTCGATTGCTGCCAAGGACTCAGGGGTGAATCGTCGAAACCTGTTAGCTTCTGATGGCCAAAACAAGGGATCCATTTTTCCTTCTGCCTGTTTGTCTCCAGTACTAGAGGTAACTTAAAAAAGAAAGCTCTTGACAGTTACAGAATACCAGAAATAACACTTGCTTTAATGTCTGTTAGATATATGATTTTTTACTTGTCTGAAACTCTGTGTCAAAATAGAATAAAATAGAATAGAATATGAACAGACTATTTCAATTGAAAAGATTCTACCATGACCATCCAGCCCAACTTCTTGACTATTGAAAGGTCTTGGGCACTGCCCAAGTGCCTCTTAAACACTGACAAGCCTGGGGCATCAACTATCCACCTAGGAAACGTGTTCCAGTGTCTGACACCCTTTTGGCAAATAAATGTTTCCTCACATCTCATGTAAACCCCCTGCACTGTGGCTTTGGACCATTCCCATACATGTCCTATCACTGGATCCCAGGGAGAAGAGCTCAGCACCTCATTCTCCACTTATCCTCCTCAGGAAGCTGTAGATGAAGTCACTGACAGCCATGACATCACCCCTCAGCCTCCTTTTCCAAAGAGCAGAAAAGCCCAAAGCCCTCAGCACGTCCTGGCAGGGCATTCCTTCCAGCCCTTCCACCAGCTCTAGTGTCCTCCTCTGGACACACTCAAGGACCTTCTCATCCTTCCTAAGCTGCAGGGCCCAGAAGTGCACACAGTGTTCCAGATGAGGCCACACCAACACTGGACACACTCAAGGACCTTCTCATCCTTCCTAAATTGCAGGGCCCAGAACTTCCCACAGTGCTCCAGATGAGGCCACACCAACAATGGACACAGCAGATCAATGACCTCTTCTGACCAGCTGGTCCTTCTGTGAGGCACCCATGATGCAAGGCAAATTAGGATATATACGAGGCACCCAAGATATAAAGCAAAACCAACTAGAAGTACATGGATTTAGAAGAATGAGTAATGAAAACCAGACCCAGTAAAGATCAACTACTTAATCTGGATGCACCCTGTGCAATTCAGGTTACAAAAAAGATACTTTTTTTCCTTTGCCTTTCCAGCTTGGAAGCATCAAGATCACACCTCTATCACAACTCTGACAATCATCTAATTTTTTTTTCTCACTGTAAATGAAAGTATCAGCAGCCTTGCACCTCTGTTACTCCTCCTCTGTACTTCCTGAAAACAGAATTAAGTTTCACATGTCCCATCTCTAAGGCTCATCAGATCCATTCCTTCCACAGCAAGGCCAACACCAAATTCAGCTCAAGGCTTTGTTCAGTTGCATTTTCAATTACTCTGCTTCAGGTTTAAAGGGGTAAGAGTGGCAATGAGAAGCACTGAGGTGACAAGGCAAATACTGTAAGTATTCAGTTACTAATGCCCAAATTTACCACAGAACTGTAGATGACAGCAATTTACATGACACCAGATCTCATCCACAGAAGACGAAGAAAATGTTGACCCATTACAGAATGATTTGTCCTTTGTGACTCACGTCAAAACCAATTACTTCCATTTAATAAACAATTTTGGTCACTGCCAAGTCCTTAAAACACTCTGCATTTTTGATTGCTGAGGTCCAGCTGTGCTGCTACTCCTTGTGAGCTCGCATCTGGACCATGTTAGAGAATCAATATTCTCTTGCAATTACAGCTCTCATCTTCAGATACAGATACATTTATTTTAAAAGAATATGCAAGCAAAAATGATTGTGTAATGATTTTTTTGGGTTTTATGGGACTTGGGAGGGGTTTTTTTTCCTCCTCTGGGACTTTCCAAGCATGTTCAGATCTGATCAGGAACCACAGCTCAGAGATCAGAATTTACCATGGTAACAAAATGGAAGTATATAACCAAAGAACTGTTACTTTGCCAAACCACACAGACATATTTCCAATCGAAAGCTCAGAAGATAAATTGAAAATCAAGATGTTCTTTTTTTTTAAAATTTGCAATAACTCTAAGAACAATTTTATCTTCAAAGTGGTTTTAAGGACAATAGAGAAACTCAGCTTTTAGGGAACTATGTCAACTGAAATAAATTAAGCAAAGAAAATGGTTTTAGCAAATGCAAATATCAGTTTTGTATTAAGGATTTCAGAGCTGCATTTAAAATAATAATAACAATAATAATAAAAAGAAGAATGAGACAGAAGTATTGATCAAGAGCAAAAAGATGCAACACATTCCCTTCAGCAACTGTGACGAGAAGTCATAATTGGATAAACTTCCATGGACATTCATGAGAGGATTTCTTCAGCAGACCTGTACCAGAAATGCACTGTGCTCACATGGAACAGACTTCCTGGCCTTTGATCAACTGCCAAGTGTTTATAGATTGTGACTTGGGTTAGGAAAAAGGAAGCTAAGAAGATGTGACTGAAAAATACTTCTAATATAAAGGACTAAAATGATATTAAAAAGACAGAGTGACTACTTGGAATTCCTGAGGCTCAGCTAAACTCAACCACCTCACCATATACTACTGAATTAGTTGGATTTTTAAGAGAAGACACTGAGGTAAAGTGTTCCTCTGAGAAATAATTTCAATTTTTGTATGGGACAAAAAAGCTTCCCCAGTAACTGGGAGGGAAGATACAGAACAAGTTTTCTTTAGTAGCATAAGCACCAGATTTATTCTAGAAACTGAGAGAAGAAACTTGGGTGTGTGACTACAAGTTAGTGCAAAGAAATTGCAGGTCAGTTTGTACTATGTCAATATGCTGCTGAGGCAGATGCAACACTAGAGTCCAGATCTGTTAATTTCCAGTATAGCAAATGAAAGAAATTTGCATTTAAATTAAATTAAGAGCTGGAAATCCTACAACAGGTTTTGATATCTCTGATCCTGTAGCAGAGACCAGTCCATCAGTAACAGATACAAATGCACTGGTACCTTCAGTTACTAAAGTACCACTTTCTACAGGATCAGGGATGCATTAACACACAGGATCAGGGATGCATTAACACATTTTTATTTTTAATTAAGGTGGAAATGACTTGGTTTTCTTATCTTGAGAGGAATTGAATTCATTGCACAAAGCTAAGCATTGCTTGAGGTAAATCGAGTTGGCTTAAGGATGCTGTGAAAATGACACAGAATATTTTTATGTCAAAACCCAAGGAATTCCAGATATACTGATGAAATTACTGAACAAATTACCTGCAAGCTACTAGAAAGGGATAAAAAAAAGAGTCATTAAGTGAAACAGACACTGGGCACTACTAAAGTACAATTTGCTACTAAAATTTCTTAAGATAAAGAGTTTTTCTAGAATAGCAAACAATACCAAAAAATGAGTCTGTTAATACAGTGTTTCAGAGACATGAATTACAAAATGCTTGCTGGGGTACTGACTAATCAGTAGAGATGATAACTAACAAGTTTAGACTTTTGGATTGGAAAACAAAATACAAATTCAAGCCTTATATACAACTCCTTGATTTGACTCCATTTGTATGAATTTCAGAATTTTAGCTCCCTAAAAGCACAGAGTTCCTTTTAAATGCAGCCATCAAAGCACTGACCATAAGATATCAACAATCCCCAAATGTAGAATTGAAACTGATAAAACTGCTCAGTAAAATACTATAAAAGTCAGTAAGGTGCATTTATGAGATGTTTCTCAAAATAGGAAAATTAGTAGGAATGTAAATATAAAAATGTCCCTATTTGTGTTTCAATCTAGTTTTAGCATGGATTGTAACCAATTCTGAGTGCCAAATTACTCATATCAACTCTCTTGTCAAGGGCCACCAACTGAATATTTCCTGTGAGCACTTGGATCTGGAAAAAAATAATGAGCAAGCCAACTGTACTTTGGTTTTAGTGTGCATTTAGTATAGTCTTTCATACAGGAATAAAGAATAAAATGTGTTCACCTCTTCACCTGAAATAAGAAAACAAAAAGAGAAAGCCGCTCACAGCAACACCTTATGAAACAGGACAGGAATTCCCTGTTTTCTGTTCTGTACCTTGCCAAAATCTTCTGCTATCACCTACTCAGTTTCAATAAGCAGAAAAAAAATTCTGTTTCTGATCACCATTTTATTCTATTTAATCGACAGTGATGGTGAACAGATCTAACAGATTTTAGTCCTAAGTAAAATCCAACTTGGACAATTTAGAGGACTACTGGTTTTTCTAAAATACAAGGCCATTTCTTCCACCCAGCACTTTGTCCCCCATTCTCCACTTCTCACTCATCACCTCATCTCAAGGAAAAGTTTGTGTTTGGATGGGTTGGATCAATATCTATCCATGCAGTTTTTTTGGAATTTTTTTCCTACCAGTGCAGTTTTTCAGCGGTTTGATTTTTTAACATGTGTAACAGACAAAGATAATATAATATAATATAATATAATATAATATAATATAATATAATATAATATAATATAATATAATATAATATAATATACTCACTCATTACTTCCAAATTCAGAAATCTATGCAATGGGCGAGACTCTGCATTACTTAAATATTCTGAAAAAAAATCACTCACCAGTATTTTTGTGAGAAAAACATTCCAGACATGCGTAGGTAGAGAAATTTTTGTATGTCAGGTTCAGTGTAAATAAGATTAGATAATACTAAAGAAAATTTGAGGAATACTCTGCATGATGTGATAAAACAAAGCAGTCAGTAATTAATATGATAATAATTAATATGACAATAATTACTATGACAATAATTAGTAGTAATTAATATGACAAATATATCAATAAAATGTTTCACTGAGGCATGTTAATTATAGGAAGAGCTACATGTTTACAGCAATGTAGTGGTTTTACATTAATGACAGATTTTCTTACATAGATGCTCCGTGTACCTAAAATAAAACCACATCTAATACTTGGAAACATATCTGCATATGTTTTATTTATATACAGACAAACACATGTATAAATATATCCCCAAATATTTTGATTAATTAGACATAGATTAAATTAAAATAATCAGCAATTGAGTTTTCTCTAGTATACAAATACTTAGCAAAACCAAAATACTTACAATATCCCCTTCAAACGAGACAAGCCTTCACACAGATTTCTGAAGGTAATGCTGGCTGGCTGTTATCTCCAAGGAGACACACAATCTTGGTTTTTCTCACCTTCAACTTTCCATTCCCAACAACATCATTTCTCCTGAGCCAGCTCCCATGCAGAAAGTTTTCTTTGTAGTGGGATGCCTGTGGGAGGGATGGAGGGAGGAGCTTGTTTGCATTTCTGAAAACAGTAAATGAAATTTTGTGCTCTTACTGACAACACTGTAAGAAAGGGAAAAGTGCTTGGGTGATACTTTTGAAGAATAATCACCCAAATATTAATTATTATTTTCTTCCTGCTGAAATCATAGTTACATTTATTAAAAGCAAAGATGGACTTTTGTTCAATTGGAAATATATGTGTAAAATGGTAAGAAAACAAAAGGTTTCCTACTTCACATTTCATTCCAAGCTTTTAACCATGCAGACATGCATTAAATATTGGCACAAAATTTGCCTTTCATTAAAAGCTTTTGTTTAGAAATTAGAGTACATATTACTATTTTTCATTCATTCATTTTCACTTTATATTATTCCCAGTCTCTGGCATACATTCATTATATCTGGAACAGACAAAATCTGAAATTCAAATATACTATCTGTTATACCCAGGACCAGAGCCCAAAATACATTCAATATCATATCATAAGCTCCAATAAAACCTACAAACCTTGTCTGAGCAGAATGAAAATCACAGCATTTATCCTCATATACTAAATTACTTTTTTTTTTTTTTAAAGTGGTGTATAAAGCCTGCTGGCAACAGGTCCTGGACAGTAACACACATCCACCTTCATGGTTAGCCCTAATGGTAAGTACAGTTATTTCTCTTAATTACATCAACAGAACCCATTACTGTCTGAAATTTCTTTTCTTCTTTATTAAGTAGAATATAAATCTTTCCTATCATCTTTCCTGATGACAAGAGAGCTACTCTGGGTTTTGCTAGAAGAATTCTACTGAAGGAACTACGCTATCCTTAAAAGCCAGGCAGCACTAATGCACACAAAGAAACAAACAGTGATTAAACACTTTTCTGGATAGCTACAACTGCAGATGGTTTTAAAAGAAATAAAACTCTAAGTGTTCTGTGGTGCAAGCAGCAACAGGACATTTAAGTACCAGTGTAAGATATTTTTCTAGAAAGCAAGATTATGTTCTCAAGACAAGTTCAATTAAGAGAGCAGGATTTTCAAGATCACTCAAGCATCCCTCTACAGAGGCACTACATTTACCATGCTGTACCACTAAATGCAATAAAGATCCCTACCTGCATGTATTTATTCTGCTGTATCTTCTCCATCCATCTGGCCTTGTGAAAAATGAGGCACAGGGGATCAGCACAGACCTCAACACAGCAAAAAGGATTGCACTTCTTCTGGACACTATAATGTTTGAAATCCAAAAAGCAAGAGCTTAGAGAAGATTTTTTTGTCTGCAGTAGCTTAGGACTTGCAGCTAACCACAAAAAACAGACAAGTTACTTCTCTTGTGCTACAGTGGAAAATTTCCTTTCTCCCATTAGGAAGACAGTTTCTTACAGTGGGAGAGGGCAGAAAACCAGCCTCAGAGTAACAGCACTCTCTTCTTCCCTTTTTCATTCATTATTCCTGTGGAAATAGGAGGAGGAAAATTGAGGAAATAAAAAAGCTGACGTTTAACAGCAAAAAGATAATGTTTGTTATAAAAGTTACTAAAATTAGATTCATTACAGAAATTACTGTTAATTTATTCACCATGCTCTTGACGTGGATCTATTTCCTCCATTAACTGCAAAGTACAGCCCTTTTCTTTTTCCTTTTTATTGCCAGAGCACAAGACAAATATTTCTTGTTGGTAGCATTAGCACACCACCATTAGCTTAATGACTAAGAGTGTACAAATGTCAAGAGCTGAATAAACCAAATTTTTGCATAATTAAATGTATCTTGTAACTGTGCCATAACTCTAAACATTAGTTGCTGCTTTAAATTATGGATCAGAAATGCAGTCATGAAAGATTTCAAGGCATCTGACAGCTCATGCACACTGCATGACCCTCTCTTCCTCAGGTTCCATCCAATAACCTCCGTCCTTTTCCTGTGTGACTTCCTGTGAGATTTTCCCTCAATAACTTGCTGACCATGGAACCCCTGCTATGGGACACCTGAAATTCAGATCATCAAAAATCTCCTTATCACTACATTATCCTCCAAGATATATCTGTATTATTAAAATACTCTGTCTCAAATTGGCTAAAATCACAAGCTGGACACAAGATCCCAGATGGAAAAAAGAGGGAATGGAACAAGAATTTCAAATAAACAAATCATTGCCATCAATGTATCTGTAAACCTAATCCTGAAATCTGTGCACTGATCTCTCCAACAGTGTCTTCGTATGATTCATACAAGCACAGAAAGTTTGAGCAAAAAAGTGTTTTACAGAGACAAAATAAACACATTTACCAAAGATTTAATGGAGAAATCAACATTCCTTTACTTGCAAGTTTAAAACATCCAGTAACTTTGACCATAACAGTTGGAAGGAAAACTACTAAAGCCTGGGAAAGATATTTCATATTTTGAAGAAATGGCTTCTGCAAAACAAAATCATACAATCCGTAACTAGATCATGTCATCCACTGACAAAGAATGCTATTAAATATAAGTATCATTTTGAGTGTTTTAATTTAGGTCAAGATTCTCACAGAGGCAAATCACAACTGTTAATTACAGTTTATGGTTATGAGTTTATGGTTATGGTTCACTGTCCATTAGCCAGCACCAACCACAAGTGAGTCTGAGACAAACACAATGATTTCCATTAGAATCAGCAAATGCAAATCACTCTTCAGACAGAAAACCCCACAAAACACAGAAAATTCAGCTGTGCACATAAAAGCAAAGAGGTGTGAACACAGACACCAAAATAGTCTCCTGAAAGCAAAATCTCAGACTCTGGAGAACAGGAAATGGAATCATGTCAGAGGGAGCACAGGCAAATTTTGAGTTTTGTTAAAGACAGATGCACCACAGGAATAGAGGTTGTCTTTTTTAGGCATAATGAAAATAAACACAAGTCATAATCATAGTAAAAAGCTTTTATTAAAAATCAGATGTTATTTTTGTCTCCTTAAAATATGCAAAGAAAAAAGTTTTCTAAGTAACTTTAGAGGTAAAAATCTGAAAGTTCCATTAATAAGGAGGAACTGTTTAAATGTTGTAAACCTGAACAAGTGATTTTGTGACAAACAGAATTTCTCAACAGAAAATTATAAAGACTTGCAGATGAATGAGAGCTTTAATACTGGATGGCTCTTCAAGTTGAAGTTAAAACTAGTCAAATGCAGATCAGTAAAATGGCACCAGTGTTTAACAGGATGGATCACTTTCTACTGAAACAGCTTGTGAGCACCTGTGGCCTTCTCAAACACCCAAAATCTTTGGTGTCTGATGGTGTCAGTAGACCTTTGTTTTTGCATCTCCACCTTGCTTTATGTAGACAAGAAATTCACAGCTGATTTTCATAGGGCAATAATTAATTATAACACGGATCTTGTGATACCTTAGGTTTTAGCTTTCATATTTTCCAAATTCTGTACTGCATTGGTATATAACTGAACTTCATATAAAGTGTTAGCAAGTTCTCCTCACAGTTTAATTAGACAAAACAATCTTTTCCCAGCCTGAGAAAGAAGGACACCACTGCAGCTTCAGGCATAAAAAGTCAAAACAAAAGTGAATTGAGGAGAGCAATCTGGGAGGATGGGACTGCGTAACCTGAAGCTGGAATTGGACAATTAACCCCAATATGTAAATGGACCAAAACTTATAAAAGTGTGAAAACTCATGACAGAGTCCATCTTGGGTCCATCTTAGGTAGGGCCATGGCCAGGCTCTTGTCCTACCCAAGGTGCATCCTTTAAAGGCCTTTTAATAAATACCTGTTTATTCCTTTATAGCCTCTGTTCTAGGTAGCCTCCTTAGGCATCAAGTGTAACAGTTGCTAACTCTGATGCTAACAGCTCATAAATGATATTTCTTACAAACTTATCTTAAAAAGGTACTTCACTGCTCAGCAATAAAACTTCATACTCCTTGGTAATTCAAGGATTTGCATTGAAGACACTTGCAATGAAAATTATCTGCAGAGATTTCTGTTTACTCCAGTTGCACCTTCAGAGAATTTTCAATCCTCCTTCCTGTCTGAAACTGGCACACAGGGAGTGCAATGCCCACAATTTGGGAAGCACTATAACCTCTGGAATATCACATTAAGAGTGATCTCTAAGGAATGCACACACATTTGTTACAATGCAAACTCAAATGTTTCCTTTGAGGGCTGAACTAATTCAGCTGCTGGCCAGAAGCATCAGGATTCCCCTAATTTCAAGAGTGACTAATTTCAAGACGTAGAGGAGATTCCTGGAATGTCT